ATCAGTGCAACATCGAGATTTGAAGCATGTACTCAAAGGGAAACATCACGGAAGTATCACTAGGTGAATCGCAACATGTACAAGCACCCAGATCATCAAAAATCGCAGTTTTGACAAGAGGGAAGGAAGATGGAGGAGGGGGAGAGAAGGAAAAAAAAGAAAAGGAAGAAGAAGTCGGAGAAGAAGTAGAAGAAGAAGAGGAAGAAGAAGATGAAGAAGAAGAAGAAGAAGAAGAAGAAGAAAGGAGAAGAGAAGAAGGAGAAGAAGAATGAGAAGTGGGGGAGGGGGAAGAAGGAGGTGGGCCTCCCCCTCCTTTTCACTCACCTCGTTGCTTGTTCCCTGGCGATAAAGTCCCAAGCTTGGTTCTAGTTCCTTGGATATGGCTCCCCTCTTTCCCAGGCTCCCCTTTTCCTTCCTCTTCCAATTCTCCTCTCAGTCTATGGTCAGCTCTTATTACTAGGGTTGTGGAGTCCTTCCCTCTAGAAGGGCTGAGGGGACCCCAACCAGCCTCTCCTTCTACCTCACAGCCTGAGGGCTATGGCGGACGTCCTTCCCTAGCTCCCTAGTCTTTCTCCCTACCTCAAAACACCATAGCCAGGCTTCAAGGCTAGCACCGGCTCACTCCTCCTTGCCCTACTCTCACTAGTGCTCTCACGAACTCAAACCGGCAGCATGGGCACTTCACATGCTCAAATGAGAGTGGCGGGCAGCACTCCCAGCTGATGTAGGCTGGAACTAGTGCACCGCCTAGCCCCTAGGCCTCCTCATGTGCCCCCAGGTGAGCCGAGGTACCCCCAAGGCCAAAATTCAAGTCTTGGCCTCTCTGGAGGTACCTGGGCCTCCTCCTGGCCAGGTACATGCAGCCGAAGTGGTTGGTACCACTTCGGCCTACGACTTGGCCTACCTCGGCCTCTTTTCTCATCCAAAAATGTTGTCTTCTGAGGGTACCCATACCCAAAATGCAGCCTTCAGCCTACCACTTGGCCAGGCTCAATTTTTGTCTTTTCCTTGGTCTAGGCCCTCTTTGAGTAGGTCGTTGCATCCCTTCATGTGGCGGCACAAATCTCAGCCTTGGATCTGGTTGAGATCCATGGTTCACAATATCCCGGCCTCTTCCCAAGTCTCCCTACCTCCAAAATTGGGCCTTTTACTTCATTTTTCTATTTTCTGATGAATTTGGCCCCATCCTTGGGCCAAATTCTCAGTTTTGTCATTTTCTCTTCTTTGTTTTTCCCTCCCTTGTGTTGCCATCTTATTTCGGAGCTAGCCATTGTGAGGAAACCCGGGGAGGGGTCGCCTACCGCTCGCTGAAGCCAAGGGCAACGACGCCTGTCACTCGCCGCGCCCGCTTCCGAGGTCCTCAGCGACCAGGGCGGTTCAGTCTGATTGGTGACCGTTGCTCCTTCACGTTGTAATTGATGTGTCATAGCATTGCTCCCGATTCTAAACAGTGGGTTTGTATAAAATATTAGTTGACTGAATAGACTGTAGCTTATACACTTAGCGATTATCGAGAGTCCGCACCACACTCACCATTCAAATCCACTCGCCCGAGCAATGATCAACAAGATCCCGGTTCCACAACGAGCGATATGAAATTGACTCAGCAATGATCTGCGAGTATTGGTTGGCCAAAGGACACAGTGTGTCTCTGCCTATGAGCAACGAACGTCTAGTTTTTTTAATGAGCATCTGATGTCTGATTCTCCAATGAGCGGCGTGCGTCCACCCCCTCTATGAGTGGACGTTGTCTGATTCGTTGATGAGCAGCGTGTGTCTGCCCCATTGATGAATAGGGGGTGTCTGATCTGTAGATGAGCAGCGTGTGTCTGCCCCCTTGATG